AGAGATGAGGATGCTTAGGTGGATGAGTTGCTTTACCATTAGAGATATGATACGAAATGAGCATATAAGTGAAAAGGTTGGAGTAGCTCCAGTTAGGGGTGTCAAAACCGGGTCACGGGTCGAGTTCGTGTCGAACCCGAACCGACCCGAAGCTAAACGGGTTGACCCGAACCCGACCCAGTAATGGATACGGGTCAATATTCAGGACCCGAACCCGACCCGAATCGGGTTCGGGTCAACCCGGAATGACCCGCTAACCCGATTTATTTTCCAAAAAAAATAAAAAACACAAACACAAAAAATTATAAACAGAAATTTGTATAAATAAAAATTTTATTTAGGAATCAAAACTAATTTGTTAATTACAATAAGCCAACCAACCATCAACACAGCCAACCCTTTCAATCATTTCGGAACCAACCATCAACACAGCCAACCAACCATCAACACAGCCAACCAGCAACAACACATCCAACTGTCAACACAGCAAAATAGGAATAACAACAAAAGAATCTCCCTGCCAAGTGCCAACACATCCAACTAATCTCCCTGCCAACACAGCAAACCGAGCTACCCAGCTAGAGAAACCACTAAATTTCTTTATGTTCTGTTATTTCTGTGCAGTTTATACTATTTTTTATGATCATCAAAACCTCCCAGCAAACCATCATATAAAATACATCATATAAATTTATTTCTATGCAGTTTCTACTTTTTTTCTAATCAGCACAACATCCCTGGGATTCTTGAAGCACCCAGCAACAACATGAAGACAGCAACCAACCCAAAGACAGCCAACCAACAACACAGCCAACCTTCCCAACAACACAGCCAACCATCCAACCAATGTAATCCAACTAAACACATCAAACTCAACACTCTAAATGTTTAAAGACAGCAACAACATCAAGACAGCAACCAACCCAACACCCTAAATGTTTAAAGATAGCAACAACACTAAGACAGCAAGTCAACAACCATCATATAAATTTATTTCTGTGCAGTTTCTACCTTTTTTTTCTGTTCAGCACAACATTCCTGGGCTTCTTGAATCACCCAGCAACAACACGAAGACAGCAACCAACCCAAAGACAGCCAACCAACAACACAGCCAACCATCCCAACAACACAGCCAACCATCCAACCAATGTAATCCAACTAAACACATCAAACTCAACACTCTAAATGTTTAAAGACAGCAACAACACCAAGACAGTAACCAACCCAACACCCTAAATGTTTAAAGATAGCAACAACACTAAGACAGCAAGTCAACAACCATCATATAAATTTATTTCTGTGCAATTTCAACCTTTTTTTTCTGTTCGGCACAACATCCCTGGGCTTCGTGAAGCACCCAACAACAACACTAAGGCAGCAACTAACCCAAAGACAGCCAACCAACAACACAGCCAACCATCAAAGTATCAAACTAGTTTTTGTTGTTATTTCTGTGCAGTTTCAGATAACAATGATCCAGGAACTAGGCAGACAGATAGGCCCTAGAAAATGGTCCAGATAACAACAAAATCAAATGAAGACAACTAACTGCCCAAGCCAAGTAGCCAGCCATCCTACACTAAAAAGAAGTATGACTTCAATACTTAATGGGTTGAAGGCTTGTTACTCCAAATACTTAGTAATAAGTAATAACTAATAAATAATAATGGCAAAAAATTTGCAAATTCTTAATGTGTTGTTGAACAACAACTCTTCAAAATAACTAGGACTCTATGGGTGTCAACTAGGTGCAGTAACTGAATAGAAAAAATAGCAGTAACTGGACAGAAATAACAGTAGAAACTGCACAGAAATAACAACAGAAACTGCACACAGAACATAGAGCACGACCTGGCTCTTTTGCATAGAAATAACAGTAGAAACTACACAGAAAGAAAAGTAGAAACTACACAGAAATAACAGTAGAAAGTGCCCAAAAATAACAGTAGTAGCTTCACAGAATTAACATCAGAAACTGCACAGAAATAATAGTAGAAACTAAACATAAATAACAGAAGAAACAGGCTCAACACTCAACAGCACAGAAATACATGAACATAGAGCTCGACCTGGCTCATTTGCACAGAAATAACAGCAGAAACAGCACAGAAATATCAGAACATAGAGCTCGACATGGCTAGATTGAACAGAAATATAGCAGTAAGTGAAAAAAAGTGAAAATCCAGCCGGAACTAACCAAAAAAACCAGAAAATCGAGCTCGACTTGGCTCGTTTGCACCAGAATATCGGAAAAACCCTAACCCCAAAAAACCAGAAAATCGAGCCGGAACTTCGCAACACAGCAAGACAAATCTCTCCTATGCTCATAATCTCATATATCATGCTTCTAAAAGGAGAAGAAAGGGAAAAAGATGAGAGATACAAACAGTGAGAGATGTAAGTATTCTGTATTCCTGTTGAGCCAAAGCAGATGTGCACGATGAACAGCACGAAAGGACGAAACCACGGACCAATAATATGCCAGAGAAGGAGAAAAGAGGAAACTAGAGACAAATCGAGGAGATGTAGAGACAGATCGAGGAGATCTGTAGAGAAGAGAACTTCGGAAACCCTAGACGAAGCAGCGAAGAAGAGGAGAGGCTGGAGAGCTACGGTGCGTGAAATGAAAAATGATCGCGTAAAACCCTAACGCAACTTATTTACTTATCCCGTTAGCGTTATCCGCGTGAAATTAATTCCCGTGTCAAACGGGTCGGTAACGGGTTACCGGGTTAACCCGGACCCGACCCGAAATTCAATTCGTGTCATTTTTATGAACCCGAACCCGACCCATTTTCCAAACGGGTCGGGTCCAACCCGAAAATTCCGGGTCGTATTCGAGTCGGGTTTTCGGGTCGTGTCAATTATTGATAGCCCTAGCTCCAGTAGAAAAAAATATTAGAGAGAGTTGCCTTAGATGGTTTGGTCACATTAGAAGGATGCCTTCCACTGACCCGGTTAGAAAAGTTGAGTTATTAGATTTGACTTATGTTAAGAAAGGTATAGGTAGACCTTATAAAAGAATTGGTTAGAAAACAATAGAAATGATCCTTCTTGATTAGATTTAAATGTGAATTTATCTTAATTGACTTAAATATCTTATGAAAAATTTGGATTGAAATTCATCAAAAAAGATTGATTCAAACTATATGATGGAATCATTACAGGAGTTTTCGAGATTGTTATCAATAAAGCAAATCATAAGTCTTCCAAATCATCTCTTCCTTTCAAAATAATGTTTTTTTTACTCTTTCCTAAAAAAATAACTTTGGTTGGCCACAAGGACTTCAACCACTGGGGACTCAAATCAAACTTCATTATTTTTCTTCTTTTAACTTTTATCAAAGCAAAGTGTTGTATTTTCCACCACCCTTATATTACAACTTGATAATTATGAAAATAATTTTAGGAAAATAAAAAAATTTTTGAAATTTGTGAGCTATAGCGTTGTTGCATTGAGTATTTTTTCCCTCTAGTGCTCTAGTTTTATGAAAATTTAAAAATAATTCAATGTAACGATACTAAGATTTTGATGCGGTGGTGCCATGAACCGGCTTGCGGTGCTGCGATGTTTGAGCACTGCAACACTAGGCAGAAGTCTACTATGGCATCATCAATCACATCCATGTCTTGACCGGAGAGACGACTCAGTTCAACTTTGATGGCTTGTTTGGTCTATTTAACACAGCCAAACATTGCCTCATAAATCATACCTTTGCACCTTCTTCTTCATGGAGTCATTTCATATTAACTCCCTTGTATTCCTTCTGCTTCTCTCATTTTTTCTTTTTCCTAAGTTTTTCTTAATTAACTATAATGTTTATGGCCAATGCCTCCAGGCTGAGAGCTCAGCTCTTCTCCAGCTCAAACGAGGCTTTACATTTACTGATGAACTCAATACATGGATTCCAGAAACGAACTATTGCATTTGGGAAGGTGTGACATGCGATGATCAATGGAGACATGTCATAAGCCTTAACCTAAGTGATAAGCACATCAATGGTACGATTCATCCTAGCCTTTTCAATCTCACATCATTGCGCACTCTGGTTTTTTCCAATAATGTGTTCTTTGGAAAATCTATTTCGGATTATGGGTGGGAACGGCTAGCAAATCTTTCAATTCTTGTTCTTCATAATGCTGGATTTGTTGGGAAGATTCCTGTTGGTTTATCTCGCTTGACAAAGTTGACTTCCCTCGACCTCTCCATTAGTTCTTTTGAATTCCATAATCTTTCTTTCACAGTTAAACCAACATATTTACGAAACATGAGTAACTTAAGGGATTTATATCTTGACAATGTAGATCTCTCGGCATATGGGAATGAATGGTGTAGTGCTCTAGTAAATTTCACCTTGCCACTTGAGGTGCTGAGCATGAGCAATTGTTCCCTCTTTGGGGTTTTTCCCAAGAAGATCCTTCAACTAAGAAATTTGAGATATCTTGATATCTCAAATAATCCAATGCTTTATGGTTCTCTTCCAGATTTTTCATTGGACAATAATTTTGGAAGTTTGATACTTTCTGATACGAATTTCTTTGGAAATTTACCAAATACAATAGGTAATCTCATGTTTTTGAGAAATTTAATACTCTCTAGTTGCCAATTTTCTGGTAGACTGCCATCTTCGATCGGAAATCTATCAAAGCTAGTGATCTTGGATCTATCAAATAATAGTAAATTACATGGGCCAATTCCAAGCTCTCTATTTCAACTATCAGAACTCTCCATCCTCTTTCTTGCTTTGAGCATTTTAGTGAAGCCATGGAGTTGGAGTTGATCAAGAATCTTAAGAATATCACGTATTTAGACCTCTCAAATAGTGGATTTTCTTTAAGTTCGTGGGAAGCAGATGATGGATCTTCCCCATCATCCTATCCCAATATAACATTATTAGTACTATCTAATTGCAATCTAACAAAGATCCCTGCATTCCTAAAATATCAATCTCAAATTGAAATCTTGGACCTCTCAAACAATAGAATTCATGGGGAAATACCTAGCTGGATATGGAACATTTGCACACTTAACCTATCTTGCAACATGTTCACACATGTTACAATGCATCCTATTACTGTGTTTATCTCAAGTAATTGATCTGCATTCAATCATGCTTGAAGGCTCAATTCCTCCTCTCCAATCTAATGAACTTTATATATTAGATTTCTCAAACAATCATCTCACATCTTTTATCTCTTTCACCACCACCTCAGACCTAACTGGCGTCCATTATTATTCTCTTGGAAACAATAACCTCACTGGAGAAATCCCACCATACATTTGCAAAATGCCATGCCTACAGTTGCTTGACTTATCTGATAATAGGCTAATAGGTTCTATTCCATCATGTTTATTGAGAGAAAGAATTGATCTACGAGTGTTAAATCTAAGAGGAAAATTGCTTCATGGAGCCATCCCTAATGAATTTAGTCCAAAATGTGACCTGCAAATTGTAAATTTTAGAGATAACCAATTAGAGGGTTTGCTTCCGAGATCTCTATCCAATTGTCAATCACTTGAGATGATGGACCTGGGGAATAATAACTTAAAGGACACATTTCCTTATTGGTTGGGAAATATGTCATCGCTAAGGGTCCTTGTTCTAAGATATAAGAAATTTCATGGGCTAGTTGGGCCTCCTGATGAAAATTTTGAAATAAATTATACTTTTTCTATGCTACATGTCTTGGACATCTCATCTAATAACTTTAGGGGTAATTTATGTGCAAAGTGTTTTAGTAATTTTAAGTCAATGATGCCAAGTAGAGAAAACATAAAAAATGATGGTACATTCAAAGTATCAGGCATATTCTATTATAGAGGGTTGTTCCACATTATGTACGATAAAAGTTATATCGGTTTGCTTACCTTTATGAATAAGGGACAACAAATGACAATGCGAATGTTATGGACGATGGTGAAGTCAATTGATTTTTTAAACAATTTTTTTGAAGGAGAGATTCCTACAAATATTGGCCAACTTACTTCTCTTCAGGTGCTCAACTTGTAAATTAACTATTTGACAGGTGAAATTCCTCCACAACTTGGGAATCTATTACAACTCGAGACATTTGATCTCTCAGTGAATAAACTTTCTGGTGTGATCCCGCAGGAATTGATTTCTTTGCATTTCTTGGCTTATTTAAACCTCTCCTACAACAATTTCATAGGAAAAATTCCAGTTGGAGGCCAATTATGCACTTTCTCGTACACGTCATTTGAAGGAAATATGGGATTAGATTTGTTTCCTTGCAACATAACATTTATAGCAAAGAACAAGACTATGACATTAGTTGGTTTAAGTAGTCAAGCTTCAAAGAATAAAAGCTACATTATTGTCTTGGGAATATTATTTGGTGTGGGATTTGGAGGGTCGATAGCAATTGTTGTAGTAATCGATGTAATGTGTTGTGAAAGACGCATCAGGAGAAGAAGCACCAGACCAGCTTATTGATGGATAATTTGCATGGAAGCCTCTTTGTAAAAGAATTCTATTAATGGAAAGGAAAGCACTGTAGTAGTTATTCTTGGCATGTTTTTATTTTTCAATTTTTTTTAGTTGTGATATAAGTAGGACTTTTGGAATTAATTTATGTATGTTGTAATTCAAATATTTGTATTAATAGACTTGTATGTTTGATTGCTTTTTCATTTTATTTTTTTATTTTTTATTTTTTATTTTTTCCTCTCTAAAGGTAGAGCTCTAGCTTCATCTTATTTGTTTAATTGTAATAGATAGAATAAGTTGCCGTAAGAAAATTATATTTTCTGTTTATATTATATTTTGTTTAAATTTTG